GCACCCATAAGCGCACCAATGTGCCTACCGTCCAGTGGTGGGATTCAAGTAATTTAACAACTGGTTCTCTGCCCTAATGATTTCTCCCAACAACCAGTTTGCCAAACTGCTCAGAAAGTTAACAACCGGTTCTCCCAAAGTGGTGCAAACTGGCTGAATCCCACCAGTGCTACCGTCCCTGTCCTACTGCTGTCCCCATTTATTCGTATTCATTTCCTGTATTCATAATCATGTTTATGCTTATATCTGTTATCTTATACATGTTCGACAAACTAAATAAATAAAATAAAAATATAGAAGCTGAGAGACCCCGAGTTCCAGTCCCACCATAGGCACAAAGCCAGATGGGTGACCTTGGGCCCTAGGAAGGAGGAAAGGGCTGCCACTTTTGAAAGTAAACTGCTGGGATTAATCAAGGATGAGTCAAGACTGCCTCAAAGGTACATACACACACATACACATACAAAGCAGGGGTGGGTTCTACTTACCTTTACTACCGGTTCGTATCACGCCCATGCGTGTGCGCTAGCTTCACTCGTGCATGCAAGCACTCTTCTGCACATGCATAGAAGCTTCTGTGCATGCGCAAATCACCTATGATGACATCCAGGTCAGTGGGCGGAGCCTCCTGCCGGTTCTACTACCGGTTCTATCGAACCGGTCCCAACCGGGGGCAACCCATCACTGATACAAAGGCAAGAAAACTGAAGATGTTTTTTTTTCTCCCTGCATAGATAAACAGATAGGACATCAGGATTACTTTTTTTTTTCTTTCTTCCTATCACTCTGAATCTTTCCAGGTTATGCCTTTGAATGCCTTGCTTTGTACTTAGAATCATAGGGCTGGAAGGAGCCTTGGAGGTCTTGCTCATGGAGTAACCTTGTAAGGTTTGGACATAAGAAAATGCACATGGAGAAGTGATGAAGGACATAGTTGTTGTCCCCACCCTTTCATCTAGTTAAATAGATGGATGCATGAAACTTTCTTTACCACTACTCTCCATTATGATATTGCATAGTTCCCCTAGAGCAGGGGGGGTCAAACTGGTGGCCTGCGGGCCAGATCCGTCATGCACAGGCCACGCCCACCCTAGATCTGCAAAGGGGGAAAACATCATGATACATTGTGTGACGGCAACGTGACACTGTGAGTTTGACACCAGTGCCCAAGAGACCCTGAATAACCCTGGGGCCTACACAAAGAGATAGGATCCTAGCCCTCACATGCACCCATTACTTCAATACATGATCACCTACAGAAGACCTGAGCAGAACAGACAGATGGATAACATGGTATTTAATGTATGTATAATAATTCAAGTTCACTCACTTGTGTCTTTCTCATTTTAGTTAGTAAGAATATGGAGAATTACTGCCAGTCAGTATAGACCAGGGCTGTCAAATTCGCGGCCCATAGGCCAGATGCGTCACGCGCTGGCCACGCCCACGCCTGGTTTAGTGAAGGGGGGGAGTCCCGATACGTCACATGATGCTACCGTGATGACACGAGTTTGAAACCCCTGGTATAGACCAATGTTTTTATATGGTCCACTTGAAGAGTTGACATTTGTCTGAGGCAAAGTATCAATCTGAGTTTGAAGATAGTTTAAAGATTGCTTTGCTAGAACAGATTGAGATATATCTAGCCTTAATTTGCAATATCCATCTAGAATACACTGTTTCTCCTTTCTTGTTGTTATCCAAAGCATATTGCAATAGAGAGGAATTTTATTTCTGCATATGAATGTTTCATTTGGCTGGCTAAGCCAGACCCCAGTCATATGATTCCAATAAAGCACTTCCTGTGGGGTTTTAAGAGTTTAAAAAGACATGAATCTCAGCTTTCAAATTCAAATTCTTATTTGAAGCCTTCATTCCCAGCACTTTGACAACATAAATAGGCTAGATCTAGACCACAAATAATTTTATGAGTCTCACAGTCGACTTGGTATCAGGTATAAGTGTGATCTAAGAAACACAAGATATAGTTATCTTAGTGGAGTTGAGTAGCAAAAGGTATGGTCAATACATAGATGGGAGTTTTTGTGAAAATGCCATATATATCATCTTCTGTTCCATAATGGATATAAATGAAATAGGCAATATAGAACTTAAATATGATAAAAACAATTATGCATTTAATCAGCAGTATTTTGCTCTTCAATAACAATATAGCCTAATATAAACAGGTTTCAACCATAATATTTTTATTATTTACTCATTGTTCTGCCCCAGCTACGGACCCCAAAGAATGCAGCACACACAAAGTCTGTTCAAACCTTAGTTTGCTAAATAAACCAGTTTTTTACAACAACAGCTGTTAATTAACTGCATTAACAGCCGCCAAGAATTCAAAGAATAATACTGAAAGCTTACTATGGTTGGCAGAATACCCAGAAGCAATTTGCAGGAAGCTGATAAGATAAGCAAGACAAAACACGAAGGTATGTGAATGAAGTTGTTCCCTGCAAATTGCTTCAGTCGGCGTTCCTCCTTAAATAGGCTAAGGGAGTGGCCAATTAGCCCCAAGCCTTACTCTCGAGGAGACCTCCTCCTGAGGAGCCACTCCTGCCTTTTGGCAGCTCTGTGCGTCCGTGCATCGAGAAGTGGTTCCTCCTCTTCATCCTCTTCACTTAAGGGAGCTTCTGGAGGTTCTGAAGGCCCTGGCTGAATCCCCGCCTCTGGCACCACATCTTCTCCAGCCTCCTCATTGTCCGACTCGAGCGCCAGCTGCACAGGCTGCTGGCGCAGCACCACACCAGCCTCCTCACTGTCTGAATCAGCTACTAGCTGCACAGGCCGCGTATGGGCCACAACACTCATTTTTGAGGAGGGGTATGAGTTTATACTGAAGAAAATGACAAAAACTATTAGCCAAGACAAAATAGCGGTAACAAAATGCCTTTTTTAAAAAAATTATCTTTGACCTTTATCATATACTGCCAATTTTTTGGATTTTATTGATTCATCCTAATACAGGTAATCTTTGATTTATGACCACAGCTGACCCCAAAATTTCTGTTGCTAAGCGAGACATTTTGCCCCATTTTGCAAACTTTCTTGCCAAGGTTGTTAAGCAAATCACTGCAGTTGTTAAGTTAGTAACACAGTCGTTAAGTGAATCTGGCCTTCCCATTGACTTTGCTTGTTAGAAGGTCGCAAAAGGGGATTGCATGACCCAGCAGGACACAGGAGCCATCATAAATATAAGTCCGTTGACAAGTCTCTGAATTTTGATCCCATGACCTTGGGGATGTTGCAATGGTCATAACTATGAAGAACGGTCATAAGTCACTTTATTCAGTGCTGTTGAAACTTTGAACTGTCATTAAACGAACTGTTGTAAGGCAAGGACTACTTGTACATTCCAATACAAAGTTGCATGGAGTGTTTAAAATCAACTGAGAAATATATTTACCATCAAAACATCAGAATATAATCTGAAACGGGTCCCCAGCCTCCGGTCAATGGACCCACACTGGGCCACGACATATCAGAAACCGGACCGTAGAAACAAGTGAAGCCCCATCTGCGGAATGCACGCACCACGTCAAACCATGCCCCACCATCCAGTCCACGGAAGAACCTTTCTCCATGGAACCAGTCCCTGGTGCCAAGAAGGGTTGGGGGCCATTGATCTAAGAGACTCTCAAGTTATATGTGATATATAGAGCCATGGTGGCACAGTAGTTAAAATGCAGTACTGCAGGCTACGTCTGCTGACCGCATGGAGATTGTGGGCGAGCACATGTGTGCGCATCCCAACTTGCATGAATAGCAGGCAAGCACACGCATGTTCCATTTGCAGTGAGCCGTGGTGGCACAAGGGTTAGAATGCAATTCTGCTGTCTGCCAACTGCCAACAGTTCAGCAATTCGATTCTCACCAGGCTCAAAGGTTGACTCAGCCTTCCATCCTTCCGAGGTGGGTAAAATGAGGACCCAGATTGTTGGGGGCAATAGGTTGACTCTGTAAACCGCTTAGAGAGGGCTGTAAAACACTGCAAAGCGGTATATAAGTTTAAGTGCTACCCTGTTTCCTCCAAAATAAGACATCCCCTGATAATAAGCCCAATTGGGCTTTTGAGCGCATGGCAATAAGGCCAAGCGCTTATTTCAGGGTTCAAAAAAATATAAGACAGGGTCTTATTTTCAGGGAAACACGGTATTGCTATATGAAATTAGTATGGGAAGCAAAATATTCAGAGAAAATTTTGGTCTTTTTTTTTTAATGCCTATTTATGGTTGATGGGTCTTAGAAAAATCCAGTAGGATCAGACTTATTGAACCAAGTAGGAGCAATGAATGGCAAAGGTATCATTAGTAATGCTTGCAGTTATAATATGATAAACAAGCTTTGCATTCAATAGTTCTTGAAAATTAAGTGGAGAAAAAAGGAAAACATGAACTTAAAATGCTTTTATAGAGTTTAGCGTGATACAGAAGGCTGATTGCATACATGTATATTGTCTGTCACAGCATGCATAATTAAACTTCATCCACAATACAGGTAATCCTCGACTTATGGCCACAACTGAGCCCCAAATTTCTGTTCCTAAGTGAGACATTTATTAAGTGAATTTTGTCCTGTTTTATGACCTTTCTTGCCACGATGGTTAAAGTGAGTCACTGCAGTTGTCAAGTTAGTAACATGGTCGTTAAACGAATCTGGCTTCCCCACTGACTTGGCTTGTCAGAAGGTCACAAAAGGGGAATCACGTGATTCCGGGACACTGCAACAGTCATAAATATGAATCCGTTGCAAAACATCTGAATGTTGATCCCATGGGGATGCTGCAACGGTCATAAATGTGAAAAATGGTCATAAGTCACTTTTTTCAGTGCTATTGTAACCTTGCACTAAATGAACTGTTATAAGTCAAGGACTACCTGTAGTTTTCTGATACTGATACATTATCCTTTTTGCGGCTCTCTGCTTCCTGTAACCTAACACTTTGTCCTGATTTTTCCCTCTTTTTTCTTTTCTCTCCTGCTTCCTAGAGGACTATCTGGAGGACAATGCAACATGGTGTAAGCTCTGGTATTCTTATTCTTGATTTTCATACCCATTAACATATTGCTGATTTTGCTGACAAATGACAACTAATGTTATTCACATAGCAATCTTTTTTTCCTCCTCCTTGCAAAATAATCTGATTTATAGATTGCTTTTGCAAACTAATACTTAGGTTGAGCCCTTCACATTCTTATTACTCTCTTTTTTTAGATATGCTGAGAGTTGGTTATATAATTTTTATGGTTCGTTGCGCAGTCAGCCAGATGTTTAGATTGGATCTGGCATTTTTATCCAACTATCAAGTCTCAATGGTCTGAGTTCCGGACCTAAACCAGCATTAAGATGCCACGCGTTTTGGGCCTTACTGGATTTAATGAGCTGGACTCTGGCACACAATGAGTTCCAAAACCAAAACAAGATGTAAAGTCAGAGCTGGGAGCTTCTGCCTCCCAGCAAGTTTCAACCAGGCAAGCCACGCACCTCTGCTGCTGCAATCCTCCCTCATCTCTCTCAGCTGTTCATCGGCAGGGCCGATTAGATACCCTTCAGCTGATCTGCTGCCCTGACGAACAGCTGATCGTCGGCTCGCTCCCCACCGATCAGATGCTCATCACCCCTGCCTAGAATCCCGGCAGGCTGCTGGTCTCGCAGTGCCCTGCCTCCCTGCTGAACAGCTGATCGTCGGCTCACTCCCCACCAAACAGCTGCTCCTCGGCTCACTCCTCGGAATAGATGCTCACCGCTGCAGCCTCCAGACTCCCACCACTCATCACCAGTGCAGGGGCTCCTTCCCCCTCCAGGTATGGCAAACTCCGGCCTTGGGGTTTGACAGGCGACTCCCCTTTACCAGGGCTGCACCCCAAACCCAGAGTTTGCCATCAAGTCCTTCCCTAGGACCTGGGATAGGGAGTTGTTGTTGTTTGAAAGGCATTGTCGCAGAAAACCATATATGTTTGTGATGATTATATAAGCAACAGGTGCCCATTCTTTAGCTAGTGTTGGCTTTCATGTGCATCAAGCTGTTTCCAAGAACCCTGGAGGGTGTGATGTATCAGTGTGGTGATGTATGTATGGATTCCCATCTGTCAATTGCAAAAGGCCACACCAGCTTTTGCAATCGACAGATGGAAATTTTGCCAATGTGCGGATTTTCTAAGTTTATATACTGCTCCTGCTGTTCTTAGGGTGCAATTATCAAAAAGCGGCAGCCTTGACCATGTCTAGGCAATGAAAAAAAAACCCATCTCACTGAAAGTATCCACAATTTGAAATGTTGAAGCAGAGGAAAATTAGATGTGTTTACAGCTCTTGTATTGCGCTTTGACAAACTGGCCAAATCACCCACAGCGTAGCAGATTAATTGGTAGGTGTAATACATGGGTGAAACATGCAGCATGGCAGCCTTCCATATAGCTGATGGTAACTTGCTGGGATGTATTAAACGAACCTCAGAAGGCATATGGCAGGCAGGCAGGGGATTATAAGTAAACACGGCCTCCTCAAAATATGTAGTTCTCCTGTCTAAGCCTTTTAAACAACAGAGATCATGATATAATCCCGTAATGTTTCAGTTTCCCACAATGCTAAATGTGAGCCCACAATCTAAGATTTTTTGATATGGCACCCAGTCTGCCAGTAACCACTGGTTTACAGTATAATCTTTCAACTTCAATTTTTGGATGTTGATACTTAGTGACCTTCTCTAATTCTTTGTCTTCTAATCTATTCTATTATCCCCTGGTATTGCCATACCACACTTCCTTTTGTTCAACCACAGTTAAATCTGGTGTGTTATGAGACAAGACTTTATCCGTTTGCATTTGGGGAATCCCACAATATTTAACGATTTACCATTTTTATTATTACTATTATTTCCAAGTCAGTATATTATAGTAGTTAAGCTGTTGGAGAAAGATCTTGATTCCAGTCCTGTCCCATTGGCTATGGAATCTCCCTTGAGAACACTGGCTCCTTTCTCAGTCTGACCAGTGGTGGGTTTGCCAATAATTTAACAACCAGCTCTCTGCCCTAATGACTGGCTGGGTGGGCGTGGCCATGGTGGGCATGGCCAGAAGGTGTGACAGGCAGTACTCGGCCTCCTGGGAGCAAAAATGGACCGCGGGGGGACGCACAGTGCCCCACATGCCCTGTTTTGGGCCTAGGGAGCTTCCCTGAAGCCTCCTAGGAATGAAAATGGGGCGTGTGGGGACTCCTGGAAGGGGTGGAGCAGGAAGGGGCAGGGCCAATCAGCAATTTAACTACCAGTTCACCCAAACCAGCCCGAACTGGCTGAATCCCACCACTGAGTCTGACTTATCTCATACAGTTGGTCGGTTGATCAAACAAGGAAGATGTCTTATTGATCAAATTCCAGAGACAAGATGGGAGATAAATCTTTGCATTTTGGTAAAAGGAGCAATTAAGATCATAAGAATGTGCAGCTGGCAGCTTCTTTGATGGGTAAATTCTTTCAGGAATTTTTTGTTATTTATTTTTTATTAAATATTAAATTGAATGATTAATTTCCCACATTACCACCACATCTGAGGCACAAAATATTAGTCCACTCCCAGAACGCAACTTGAAGACACATATTTAAGCAAAAAGAAAAGAAGAAACATGAAACAGAACTTGGATTATTTTTAAGGCTTCCTGGAAGTATTTGATTGGTCTCTGTCAAAAACAGAACTTTCTATTTCATCTCTTTTCTACTGTTTCTTTATTTCTGATTTTAGTTTGTTTTATCTGTTAGCATTTAATATTTTTCAATAATATTTTAAAAAGAAAAAGAAACAAGATCTTGGGGTTGGTTTAAGGGAAATTTGCAAGAATACTTGACTCAAGGGGCTCGTGAACATAGAAAGAAAATGGTTCAAGATCTGAATCTGTGAATGACTTGAGGTACTTCAACTCAAAACAAATTCCCCTTGTTGAATTCTAAATATGTTTTTCTACCAGATGCTAGCAGGGGATCTTGATATTCTAGATTTAAAAAGGGCTGAATAGGGTGAATATATGCTTTCTCCAGCTGCAAAATCATTTCTAGCATGGTACTATGGCATATTTTTTTTAATTGACCATCGGAACATATGGTTTTTCCAAATTCTGGTACTTAATAATGTACCAAATGATAAATGTACTGTGAGTGCTACAAAGCATATTTAAAGCCAGGCTTTCAGTCTCCAAATTTAAATTTGGAAGTGGAGAAAGACTTAATATGTAATTCATTCCTTAGCAGAAGTAACCTATTTCAACAAATAAATAATAAACATATTGCAATTAGTTTCCTGTAGAATGCTTGGCAAAAACAATAGCAAGGGAATTTATATGTTGGAAGCACATTTTTAATTTCACTGATAATTTATAATAAAATACATATTTATATATCTATTAATACAAAGTATTCCGGAAAAGACATGATTTGACCATTTAAAAGCATGAAAATACAGATATTGCTTCATACCATGCATTTACACATGCATTTTAAAAAAGAAAAGTCAGAAACCAAACATAGGAAATGCTTCTTTTTTTAAAAAAAATCTCTAAAGAACCTCTAAAATGAAAAGGGGAGAATCAAGGTCTCACTGAAGACTTTGTAGGGTTGGTAGCAGTGGTGAAATCCAATTTTTTTTACTACCGGTTCTGTGGGCATGGCTTGGTGGGTGTGGTGTGGCTTGGTGGGCATGGCTTGGTGGGCATGGCAGGGGAAGGATATGCAAAATCTCCATTCCCACCCCACTCCAGTGGAAGGATACTGCAAAATCCCCATTCCCTCCCCACTCCTGGGGGAAGGATATTGCAAAATCTCCATTCCCACCCCACTCTGGGGCCAGCCAGAGGAGGCATTTGCCGGTTCTCTGAACTACTCAAACTTTCCACTACCGGTTTTCCGAACTGCTCAAAATTTCTGCTACTGGTTCTCCGAACTGCTCAAAATTTCCGCTACCGGTTCTCCAGAACTTGTTAGAACCTTCTGGATTTCACCCCTGGTTGGTAGGTTTCTTCCCTGTCAGATGTAAATGCCTTATTCTCTAATGTGTAAATAGTGTACAAACAGGGTATCAGGGGTTAACTTATTCTTCACTTCTTAATGTATTCATAACTCACCACTCCCACATATAGCTCCACCCATTGTATATATAAGGAGCTACCTACACCCTTTCCCTTGCTTCTATCTGTGAATATTCAGTGAATATAGAATGCCTATTGTAAATAAAAGAATATATAGTTAAACCTTCAACTCTTGCTAATCTTATTGAGTCTGATCCTAAAAATATTGCAACATTCCCACTACTTAATATAATCCAGGTTCAGTTAGATTGGCCTAGTCAGATTCAAAAATCCGTTTGTTCATCTAATACTGCTTGCATTTTTGTTAATTCTAGAATAGCTTTGTCTACCAGCTCGCCATTTGCTTTCAGTAGGAGGAAGTAAAATTAATGTAGAGGGACCCAAGGGTGTGAAGATCCACTAGAGTGGCAAGATTGAGAAATCATTTACCCCTTGGCTTAAATATACTCTAGGAGATTCTCTCCAACATATAGTTTTTGCAATTTGGAGAGTGATGAAAACATATGTTTTTGTGTGTTTTTGTGTGTTTCTTATATATGAAAAGCTATTTCCCATTTACAGCCTCTCTGCCACTTTTTCCTGGCTACTGTTTTCCCTGTGTTATCAAGGGTATTCAAATGGAACCTCTTCCTCCTGTAACTTGATCCTTGCCCAGGAAAATATAACATGTCATCTGGCTAGATTTATATAGCCAGATGACTTTCATTAGCAGAACACCAGAGGAACTGATGGTTCTTAATTCTTAAGCCTGATTTAATTGGTGTCAGAATCCAGAATTTCTTTTCCAATTATTAGACTTAAATTTGATTTCTTTTCTCTCTCTTTCTTTCTCTTTTTCTCATTGTGGAGCTTTTATTCTATTCATTTATTTAGATGGCTCTTGGGAATTCTCGGAGAAATGGGCTCTACAATTCCTTTAAAGGTAGCCTCTCTTTGAAGAGCT